AACTGTGGTCAATGACATGAGACAAAGTATATGTGAACTGCTGTATAGAAAGTGAATTTGCTCTGTAAATCTTCACACAAATCACAATAAATAAAAAAAGAGAATTGGCCAGGGAATACCTTATGAATAGCAGAGAAACACTGTCTGATATATTACTGTGCAACTTCATGAATAGCCTGGAAACATTGTCTGATACAGTGCAGGGTGATGAGCCCCTTAGGTCAGAAAGCTTTCAAAATACGACTAGGAAAGGGGTGCATTATCAGAGTAGGACCAACTTTACTGATATGGATAAAATAAAGCTCTTGAGACCTCCATTTGCTGACGTGGCACAACTCAAACTGAGGAGAAACAGCTGCAAACATCCATTAATAATAGGAACATGGAATGTACAAAGTATGAATCTAGGAAAATTGGAAGTTGTCAAAAGTGAAATGGAACACGTAAAGATTGATATCCTAAGCATTAGTGAGCTGAAATGGGCTGGTTTGAGCCATTTTGAATCAGATAACCATATGATCTACTTATTTTACTTACCCTCACATCCTGATACTCATCTCTGCAAACATGGGAATGCTATCCTTCAGTAGACTACAATCCTTCATTTTTCATGAAGATAATTGCTGTTAGTGGTCGTTGATTCAGCGCCTGTGTACAACAGAAGGAAGCATTGCCTGGTCCTGTGTCTTCCTCACAATCAACAGCATATTTGAGTCTATTGGTGTGCCTACTGTGGGTTACCCACACCCTTGTTGACCCTTTGTTTCACCAAACATGATGTCCTTCTCCAGTGATTGATCCCTCTGATGGTATGTCCATAACAAGCAAGTTGGACAATGCATGAGGGTTACTTTGCTACTATTAAATATGGTTCTGGGTTTGACATTTCAGCTATACACATGAGAAAAGATTGGTTATGATTTATTTTTCTTTTGAACAAAGGCCTTTGAAAGCCTTAGAGAACAAAGAAATATTACTCTGTGATCTTAAAAATAACAGTAGCTACCATGTGTTGAATTCTTATATTGTCCCAAGCAATCATTTTGAGAAATGCCTTACAGGAACTGTTCTGATCCTTGTAACAACCTGCAAAATACACATTTTCATCCTTAGTTTACAGATGAGGAAACTGAGGACCAGAGAGAATGAAAACTTGCCCCAGGTCCTATAATTGACAAAATACACAGCCATATTTCACCCAGTTCTTTTTGCCCTCTCCTTTGCAGACATGAAGATTCTGTTGAATTGCAATTCTTCTCTTAATATCATATATGTTGTTGTTTATTCATTTAGTTTGAAAGAGAAGAGTTTTGTTTTGTTTTCCTCAAAATGTACTAATGTCAAAAGAATTGATGGCTTTATGAATCTGGAGAACTGTTTGACAAATTAATAGATGAAATGCCCAATAGTTTTATAGCAAAACTAACAGCAGTCTTCTTCAACCTGCAGGGCCTGTAATTCAGTGTTTACAGCATTAGACCACTGTCATGAAGCCATAGAAATAACAAGTGATGACCATGTGATCCAGGTAAGGAAAAATATTATATCTGTCAATGTCAACATCTGAAGTATGAGCCACCCTATTTCAAATACTTTACCATAATTCTCACTACCCAGCACATTTGTTTGGGAGAAAGGAAAATCAAAGTGCACAAAGAAGACTCTGATAGACGTAAGCTAAGGACTGGGTATTTGATAAAGAATAAAGAACTTATTAATTCAGATCAGAACCTGTGATTTCATTGAAAGAGATGTGCTAAATTATTTGAACCATCTGTGAGAATAACATTTATACAGAAATACATTAGAACTGTAGAGTAAATACTATAAATGCCAATGGGAAGAGAATATTTTTAAAAATACTCATCTAGTTACCTGCAGTTGGTATTCTAACTATAATGCACTCTTACATACTAAAGGAGCTCTGGTGGTGTAGTGGTTAAGGCATATGGCTGCTAACCAAAAGGTTGGTGGTTCAAACTCACCAGCTGCTCCGTAGAATAAAGATGAGGCAGTCTGCTTCTATAAAGATTTACAGCCTTGGAAACCCAATGAGGGTTGGTTTGAGTCAGAATTGACTTGATGGCAATGAGTTTTTTTCTTATATACTAGTCATTTTTCTAATGTATAGTCACCAAACCTTTGTTGAGATAGGGTCTTCTTATAATTTGTTAGAAAGTACCATGTCTACACTTTACAAGTAACCTTTGGGTAGACTTTTCCGTAACTGGTCCTGGCCTGCCTTTACTTGGATGTAATAACCAGTGTGAGGAGTGCTTGTTGTCATCAATAAAATGCCAAAGGCAATGCTCAATATGTGGTGGCCTTGCAATAGCAGCCTCGCAGCTGCTGTCCTCCAATACTCTCAACACACACACAAACACAACCTGCTCTCATACTGGACTAATAACTTCAGCAGCCACTACATCTAAAAAAAAACCAAACTCACTGCCATCAAGTCAGATCCAACCCATAGCGACCCCTCCTTGGATTTCCGAGGTGGTATCACTACTGGAATAGATTGCCCAGTCTTCCTTCTGAGGAGTGCCTGGTGGGTTTGAACCACCAGGCTTCTGGTTACCAGTCAAATGCCTTAGGCACTGTGCCACCAGAGTCACTACATCTAGGTCTTGTTATTAGTTTCCTATTGCTGTTGTAACAAATTACCATAAACTCAGTGGCTTAAGGGCTCTCTGTTGGATCTGGATCCTGCATCTAGCTTCTCATAATCTGGTTCCTGGAGCTGAACCAGGGGCCTGCTATATTGCCTTTCGATCTTGGATCTTGGGATTGTTGCCTTCGCAGTCTTGTGAGCAAACAATCCACCATTTTACCTGCTGATCTTGGATCTGTCATCTGCTGAAGTCATCAACCTGCTATATTGCCTGCCTATCTTGGGTCTGTCAGTCCCTGCAGCTGTGTGAGTCAGGAGAAACCTCCAGCTTGCTGTTTGACCCATGAACTTGGGACTTGCCAGCCTTTACAACTTTGTGAGCTATTTCTGATAGATAAGTTTCTCTTTTTCTCTTTCTCTATAAGCTTCACTGGTTTTGCTTCTCTAGAGAATCCAGCCTAAGACACCTTCCCTTCCCCACCCATCCATGGTAACCATCATGTTTTCATGATACCTTTTTCTTGATGGCTTACAATAGGGGTCTCATACCGTATTTCACCTTTTCTGATTGACTGATTTCATGAGGGAAAGCAAAGCCAGAGGGGACAACAGAGCAGAGCAGCAGCCAAGGTTCCAGTTAAGGGGAGGGACCAACCCCACCCCCACCAGGCAGGAAAAGGAGGGAAAATGAAACCAGAGGGAACAACTGAGCAGAGCAGCAGCCAGGGACTCAGGTAAGGGGAGGGCAAAGAGGTTTTGAACAGTTAAGGGAGACAGACTTGTCTGTCAGTTTGTCTGACTGTTATGGCATGCATGTTGTTGTGAGTCTTGAGGCTGTGCCACCGGTGTTTCAAACACCAGCAGGGTTGCACATTGTGCACAGGTTTCAATGCAGTTTACAGACTGAGACAGACTAGGAAGGAGGAGGAGGCCATCCACTTCTCAAAGAATTGGCCAGGATAGAGCCTGATGGAACCACTGAGACTATGGCCCCTAGCTGCCCTTCAGGTCTGGAATTGAACCCACACCTGTGGTTTCCAGCCAAACAAAGT